AGCCGATGTTGACTGAGGGCGTCCACTTGTGAATTCGCCACCCCCTGAAATGTGGTCTGCACGAATAAAGCTGAAGTGAGTTTCGGCCCAGCAACCCAGGAGTAAGGCTTCCCTCATGAAGGTTCTCAAATGTGTACCTCCCATCTTGTTGATGTGGGCCTTTGCCGTTACGTTGTCCGTGCGGACAAAAACGTTGCGAGACTCCACCTTGTCCTGGAAGAAAGTGAGGGCGAGGCGAACTGCACGCAACTCCAAGATGTTGATGTTGAGACGTTGTTCCGCGGATGACCACTGACCTTGTGCTAGATGGTGCTCCAAGTGGGGCCCCGAGCCTGAGAGGCTGGCGTCAGTGGTGAGAAGCAGCTGTGTTGGTTCCCGGAAGGGACTGGCCTTTGAGATCGCCAGTGAGGTCCACCACTAGAGAGAGGCGATTAGCGGCTGGCAGGGTCACCCTGAGCAGTTCCATGTTGGAGTGGGCTTTCTGATGCAGCAAGAGGAACCATTGTAACTCCTTGCTGTGGAGGTGAGACCAAGGAACAATGCCGAAGGTTGAGACCATCTTGCCCAGGAGGCAAGAAAGGACAATAACCGAGGAAGAACGGTCAGTGACGCAACATTGAGCGAGGGAGCAGAGGCTAGATTGGCGTTCCAGAGACAGAGAGACAGTAGAGGCTGTAGTATCAATGATCGCTCCCAAGTGTTGGAGGCTAGTGGAGGATGACAAATGGCTTTTGGCCCAATTAATGGAAAATCCATGGCTCTGAAGCACATGGATGGTGGTAGACAAATCCCGGTGGGCGGAGTGGATGGAAGAGGATTGGATAAGAATATCATCTAAATAAAATTGAATCCTGATGGGGAGAGAGCGAATGTGGGCGACGAGGGTCGCCATAATCTTGGTAAAAACCCGTGGGGCGGAGGAAAGGCCAAACGGTAAGGCGGAGTATTGATAATGTCCTCCGAGGTAGTGAAAATGTAGGAATTTATGGTGATCAGGGTGAATGGGGACATGGAGATAGGCCTCCGTCAAATCGATAGAAGAAAGAAAATCACCCGGTCTGATGGTGTCCAGGATAGTGTGGAGGGTGTGCATCTTGAACCGGCGGTATATTATGTACCGGTTCAGGGCCTTAAGATCAAGAATCGCCCTCCACCCTCCTGAGGATTTCCTCACCAGAAATAAGCGGGAATAAAACCTCTGACCATGCTGGTTTGGGAGAACCCTTTGAATAGCCCTAATGGTTAAGAGGTGTTTAATGGCCTCTTTCCCAAGCGGGAAAGCCAAGTTCCCGCTTGGCTTTGTCCCGAGAAATGGGACATGTGAAGAAAACAGTCGGGGGGGTTGAGCGGAACTCCAGCCATAAACCGGAAAGGATAGTCTCCCTGACCCACGCATCAGATGTTGACACCTCCCACTGACTGGCGAATAGGCCCAGACATCCCCCTATTGGTATGTTGGAGGAGAGATTACTTGGCTCTACGGAAAGGTCTGCCCCTGCCTCCCCGAAAGGGCCACTTAGGCTGGAACTTGCCCCCGGGTCTGACCTGAGAATCCTGTTGTTGAGGTCTGATCTGAAATGACCGCTGGTAGCGAGGCTGGTAGAAACCGGAGTCAGAGGCCCGAAAGGGCTGGGGCTGTGGATAAGGTGCATAATGGAATCACTTCTTCGGGAAACAGAAGGCAAGATTTTGCGACGGTCCCTGGTTTCAACGAGAAGAGGATCCAATGGTGGATCGAATAAGGCCTCAGCCGAGAATGGAGAGGAGGCCAACTGCCATTTGCTCCTGGCATCGGCCTGCCAATGACGGAGCCATAGAAGGCGACGGGAGGTGATAGTGGAACCAATGGACTTTGCTGCGAATCTAGCCGAATTCAAAGTGGCATCCGCTGAGTACTCCAAAGCAGCGACAATTTTAAATCTTGATGGGTCCTTGTGTCAGAGGGAGGAAGTCCATCCTGAAGCTGTTTGAGCCAAAGAAGCAACGCCCTATTGAAAAATGAAGTCGATGTGGAGGCTCGTATAGCCCAGGCCACAGCCTGGTGTCCCTTGATCAATGTTTTTTCAGCTCTTTTATCTTCCGGGCAAAGATACTCCTCTGGGGACCCCGTCATCCGGGTGGAGGATGTCAGTGCTGCGATAGGGGCATCCACAGGAGGTACCTGCCAGAGATTTGAAAGAGCGGGCGCCGAATCGTTAAGACGCTTGTCTAAACCATTAGGGGCCGGACCAGAGCCAGGAATGGCCCACTGTCTTTGGATAACATTGGTAAAGAGCTTAGGCGCAGGCACCGTCTCAGGTTCCACTGAATGTTCCGCAAATAAGGAAGTAGTCGGGTCATTATCCACTGAGGGCTCCACAGTGGATGGACAAGCTGCGCCAAATCGTGTGATAGAAAGAGCCTTGTAAAGTAAGGACCGAAAAACTTGAGGCCGAAAAAGGCCAATGAAGGTGGGTTGATCTGGGGCTAGGTCTTCATCGTCAGAAAGAGCCAGGAATCTTGTCTCTTCCTCCTCAGAAACAGACCCCTGCTCTGAATGCTCAAGAGATGCTGCTGGCTCCACCTCGGAGAACTCCTCTTGAAGAGGCTAAGGTTGAAGATAGTCCACATATTGTGGGACAGGGCCAACCAATCCCTGTTGCAATCCTTGGACGAGCCCCTGCTGAATAGCCCTGGTAATTATAGCCTCCAAGGAGGCTTGAAAAACTGGAACCTGTGGTTTCACAGGTTTTGAGACCCAATCTGGGATCCAGAAGGAGATCTGAGTGTTCCCTGGACGTCCTCAGGTGGCTGAGTAGAACAGGAAGGGCTGGGAGCAGGGAGGGTCTGGAATAATGGCTCACTCCCTGGAGGATGTAAGGGCCCACATGGAGCTGGCTGGCCAGGCGATAATTCCCTTCTGGGTTGAGGGGGATCCATGTTGCTCTGAGGTGAGCGAGGAACAGGGCTCAAAATGGCCGCTGGCTGAGGCAACTGCTGTGGTTGGGCCTTGAGGTCAGCCTTTTCTAGTGCCTTATGCCACTGCATTTCCTCTTGGAGGTTTTAGAAGCTTTAGAGGCAGTCGCGGCTTCCCTCGTTTTGGACCTTTTAGGAGTAGGGGGTAGACCCGAGGGACCCCCCCTTGGGACTGCTCATATGCCTGCGCCTCCCCCCAGCAGTTGAAGTTGCAGTGCGAGGCTGCCTTGTGGCGTCCGCCAATAACCCCCCGGGAGCGTTAAATGCGATAAGGCGAATTTGCTGCCACTTAGCTGAGATCCGAAGTCTTGCGAAGAGAAGGGGCTTCAGCCTGCTGCTCCAGAGATCGCAAGCCATCCGGCTTCAAAGCGATGGGGGCTACGGCAACGAGGAGACAGAGCTCACTCATAGCATTGCGATGTCGGACCGCTAGCCATCCAGCAGTAAAACGCGGTCTAAAAGTGCTTCCAATTTCAGATGGTGCTTAGCGCTTGTCGGGCTACTAGGCAAATGCCGTTAAGACAAGGTTGGGAAAGGCTCACCCAATGTAGGGGGAAGGCTGGGATGACCAGGTAGCCCCTAGAATGGTCCTGCCAGCAGGTAGTCCCAAAACCGCTCCGCGGCTGTGGCGGTATCAGGCAGACTCACCCTTCACACCAACAATCAAAAAACAATTTGAATTTGAATTGAATAGCCAATTAAAATATCGATCTGAACAGTCAATTTGGATCCAAGTAGGAAAAGGTGTGGAGAAACGGTCAGGCCGGGAAGACACGTCTGTCCAGCATAGACCGAGTCGAAACACTGGAGAACACCAGCAGAGGGCGGAGCTATTCAAATCTGCAGACTCGGTCCTATGCTGCACAGACGGAGTTCCTCCCATGCCTGACTGCCGTTTCCCTCCAATCAGGAGAAAATGCTTTTAAAAGGCTCTGACAATCCCAGCTGAGTTGCCTGATCATCAGAGGCTTTTTTTCTTTTTAAAAGCAAAAATAAAAAATAAAAATCTGCGTATCTGTCTTTTAAACTATAACTCACCCTGTGTTTCTTTGCAGGATAGCAATATGTAATAACATACATACAGACCTCTTCCATCTTATATAACATGAGTTCATTATTGTAAGATTTCGTGTGTTATGTCTGACATCACTTCAATACACTACTTTGCACTGAAGTTAGTAGAAAATGCCATTCAAAACAATTCTATCATGTGTAACGCTCATTATATTAAGTACCTTCTGAGTCAATTCTCAAACAGAAGCTGTGATTCACACTGTTTTGTGATGTCTCTTTCAAATGCCATTCAGGGCCCTGTGTCTCAGAATAAGTCACAGGGTTCAGTACTAGGCAAAATATTTAAAATGCTGTGTTAATAGTGGGAAAATTCTAGAGTTACTTGTTGTGAAAAAGCTGATGTTCCTTACGCAGAATGTCATTATGCAGAATGTCAATACAGATTGGCAATAATGTCTTCACAAATAACAGAACAAATAGCATCACATTAGTGCTCCTTTTTTGTGCTTTCCCAGAGATAATATTACTGATGACAATATTAACATTTTTATATCATGAATTACAGTGATGCTGGTGTTCCACTGGAAGAGCTGAAGAACCAGGCTGGGGACAGATTGCCATACATCTATCTATATGAGTTTACATCAATTTGAGGGCACATAATCAATCAATCAACGAAAATGCCATAATAATAGATCTGTGTTGCTCAGTTCCTCTATCAATGGCACTTTGGAAAACAGCTAATTTCTTAATTAAATATAACCCAGTCAAATGTTTGATGAAGAACTTCAACTGTGATTAGGATTGCATGGTGCAAGCATCTCTTGAGACATTATTGCATAGATTTCCCAACCTAGAGCTCTCTAGATACGTTAGGAGTATAACTCACAGAATTTCTAGCCAAAAGCACTACTGGGTGGAGATTCTCATAACTGTACTTCTAACATATCTGGAGGGCATCCAACTGGGAAAGAGTGAGATCAATCTTTCCCATAATTAGGTTATGCTCCTCTCCTTTTCATATTACGTACCTTTCCTTCTTCATTAAATCTTCCTACAAGGTAAAACCATTCCCGAGAACAGAACCAAGTTGGCATAATTACTGTTGGTCCATGGGATGTGAAAACCTAGAAACAGAATGAGAAAATAGCCTTTTGTTTTTCAAAGAAGCATAGTTCTTAAGAAATAAATTTGGGGACCTAATACTTCTTTTCTGTTAAGGCTGAAAGTCTGGTAAGTATTTCTTTTGACAGAAATGGGTTGTTTTGTTAAGAAAACAGTAATTTTTCAGGACAAATAAGAAATTCTATGAATACTATAATAAATTCTGAATATTTTATTACAAAGCTGCAGTGGGGAAGAGTACTGTTAATTGGTAGAGTGGTACTGAAGAAGGTAAGAAACACTTTTCCATGAACTGTACTTCCCCTCTATCACTTTCTCCTTAGAACAATTTAAAAGATGGGCTACATATAACACCATTTAGATCACAAAATCAACAAGACTAGAATGAAACATGCTTCCAAAACAATCATTTTTTCACACTAAAGCAAAACTGAACTCAAGAACTCAGATTACAAATCTGAGATCATGTGTTTTGCAATATCTCATCTGGTTTTGTTGTCAAAAAATCATGAATTTGCGTCAAAAACATAAGTAACCCAATATAATGGAGAGAAATGCCTGCTGGTATTTAGGATTGAACTCTCAACCTCCGGAGTGGACGGCAAGTGTCTTCACTACTAGACCACCATGCTGCACACAAGGACCCCAATATATGGATCGTTATTCAAATGTGATATTCTACAATGAGATTAATGCATTCCCTATACAGTGTTGTTGGCATTTTCAACCATTCATTTAGAAGTAGCCCTTGCATCTGAGGCTTGTCAATGATTTTTAGATTCAAATAGAGAAAATTTAGCGGCATTCGATATCTTGTTCTATGGCATGTAGTAAGTTTCCCATAAGATCTAAACTTCACAAACATGAAATAAAGTAGTTGGAAACTAAGCACACCTGTAATTTTTACTGTTTACATATTATATGCCAAAATTAACAACCAATGGAAAGTGCTGTTTTAGAACAAATCAAGTGGAAAGTATTTGAATGAGTCCGTAACAGCCTTAGGCAATTGGTATTTAGTAACATTTATTTTATGTCCAAGTAACATCTATAAAATAAGAACAAAAAATGGCACATATGAGTAGAAATATTGGCAAATTTAATAACCTAAATATTTACACAGAAAACTGAAGAAAACTAGTATCTAGGAAAATAAATGAATGTGACCCTTGATTTGTATATTTCTGAATGACAGTTTCAGTGAATTATACCAACAAAGCCTTTTTTGCTTTAAACAAGTATGTCTTAAACCTAGAGCTGAAATAAACCAGAATATCCGGATTATGTAAGGTAAATCTATTTTTTCCATTAATATAAGACAAAATGTCTAACATATCTGCAGACTAATCTTCTTGTCAAGAAGTTAAAGGAGCATAGTGCATCCTGCCCTAGGTATTATATCTAAAGCTACTTTTATGAGCTAAGCAAACAGAGACAGATATTCGTTGTTTCCAGCTGCTTCTTGTGGACTTAACCTAGCTCATTCACAGTGCATACGTGATCCATACAATACCACTATCCAGTTATTATTCTGCCATATTTTTGCAGTGCTGATTCTTTCACTAGTTTCCTTGTTCCATTACAACTTCCCTACATATTCTTAAAATGGTCTTTAAAAGTAGTATTTTTTTAAAAAAAAATTGAGCTTAACCTTACAGCCATCATGTAGGAGGCCAGATCTGCACAATATAGCTCAAATCATATTCACTGCATATTTTGGTTGCAAGAAAAATAATCATATTCCATACCTAATGTTCTACAAATCTGTAAGGCAAAATGTTATAAGAAGAAAATGATCTAATTCTGAAGCAATTCTATTAACTTAACAACATACTTAAAACCATTATTCCTAGCAACATTATACATTCCATTCATTATCTTGTTTTTAAGATTTAACATAGTATATCTTCAAAAATCATTCTGAATGAAATTAGTATAAAGGACATAAATGCAATATTGAAATTATAGGAAGAGTAATTATCCTGAAAGATCACTGAAGAAAAGTCATGTAGATAGTTGGACCCAAGTCGTGCATTTTCCAATGATCTCTCTGAACTTCTAAAATTTCTCTTATTTTCCTTTATTTGTTGACATTCTTGACTGAGATATCTTTTCTTGTTCTTTCTTTGTTTGATATTGAAAGTCTGTGTTCAGTTATCATGTCCTTGTTATCCTAGGCTTTTGTTGTCATTTTAAACATTCAGTGAATATCCCTTTCTTACAGATACATTCCTTTTGTTTATTATAGCTAAGCACATACTTTACAATATCCATTTTGAGTATCACTGCCATTCCATTCCTTCATTTGGTCGTTGCATTCAGTATTATATAATGGATTAAGGTTAAAATGACTTGTTCTGGACCAAATAAGTAAAATGTGTTATTTAGCTCTATCTTTCAAAACACATAATATTCTCTCAAACTCTGTCAATTTCCAAAGTTTTTTCCAATCTTGCAATCAGAGAGAAGAAACATGAAAAAGGCAAAAGGTATACCTGCAAATATGTGCGGGTGCATCCAAAGCTTAGCAGAATCAAGAATATGAATCCTATCATTATCTTTAACAATAATAAAAAAAAAATACTGCAGCTAATAATGTTCTCTAAAAGATTGTAGTATACATGTAACAGTAAGTAGAAATGTTGGACTCTCTTTTTTGAAGTTATTTATTGTCTTTGAGGCCTCAAATAAATTTGTCAGTATTGAATTGATCAATACTTCTGAACCAAATGTGCTTTTTTTCAAAAGTACATTTTCCTTTTAGGAAAAAAAGCACTTTGGCGACAACCATGACCTGGATGATTGAGTATCTCCATAGACAATACATCTGAATATTCATAGGTTAAAAGTAAATCTGTTTTATTTCAGTTTCTTGATTTCAAGAAAATATATGGAGAGAAACAGGCAGAAGAAGAAAAAGAAATAATGAATTTAAACATAGAAAATTACAAATAGCTAAACAGACAACCAGAAACTAAAAAAAGTAACTAAAAACATGTAAGAGTGTTTTTTGAAAACTTCAAAAACAAAACATCCCAGTTGTCTAATAGTACACTAAATATATTGGTGTACTTCATCAGATTGCTACTAGCCTTCATTTAAAATCTTCTACAATAGTCAGAATAACTAAGTCCCAAAATATTTCATTATGAATAATCATTATAACTCTAAAAACACTTGTGATTGAACTGAAGAGAGGGAGGGGTAGTTCTACTAGCTGGACATACTATGAACCATAAATGAGAGAACAACTCTCTCCAACAGACGCGTATACCTTATACCAGTGATGGTTGACCTTTTTGATGTCGAATGCACATGCGTGTGGCCGAACCCCCAAAATGCAATGTGAGCGTCCCCCCGCGCATGCAACCTGGTCCCCTGTGCCACATTTTGGCTTCCAGGTTGGTGCAGGAGGCTTTCCAGGCCCAAAACGGGGCACCCCGTTTTGGGCCTGGAAAGCCTCCTGCACAAACTTGCATCCCCCTGCACATGCGCCTCATTCACCCACCCACCCGTGCATGCATGCACATCCCCTGTATGTGCCCTGCGCCCCGTGCATGTGCGGCAGAGACCCGAAGACCAGCTGGCTGGTGGGAGGTGTGCGTGGATGTGCAGTGAAGCTGGGCTGGAGCGATGGCTGGCGTGCTCACAGAGAGGGCTCTGTGTGCCACCTGTGGCACGCGTGCCATAGGTTTGCCACCATGGCCTTATACTGTACATTTGGAAGTATTAGAATTGGACTGGTTTAGGCTTATTATATTTAGCCTATAATAAGATAGAAAAATCTTATTACATACCAGGTTATTCAGTGATGAAAGCACCTTAGGAAATGTATAAATTAGCATACCCTATTAACTGGCAAGTATTTTCAACGAGACAAATGAACAGACATGCTTAAATACTACTGATTCAATAGAAGAAAGCAAACTCATAATATCCAAGCTTTCCTTTACCATCAAAAAAAATTCATGATATTATTTTAAAAATCTAATTTAAAAAACCTACATCCAGTTAATTACTCATTTAATACATTTATATTCCAGCCTAAATGGGTACATATCTTGCAAAATAAAACACAGTAACTAATAGATGAAATATACTGAAATCTGTTAAAGAGTACAAAGTTTAAACATGCATCTATAAAATCGCTTAAACAACTAAAACATAAAAACAAACAAACTACCTACAAACGAACCTGTAGAATATTTTTAATGTTTTTTTGTCTTCTGCAAATCTGTTATTACAATTACTTGCAATCATATTGCAATCATCCCACCCAGAAACAGGGAACAAAAGGAACAAAACCTACACAGTTCTTTCTTTTTTTCAATAGCTGGGAATTACACCTCCCCCAGCATCTCAAACTTCCACGCATTTCTTGACAGTTACTGCCAAACCCTAGAGCAATGGGAACTCTCTAGCTTTGTGTGATGATCCTGAGAAGTGCCTAAGACACTCATACACACGTAAATTATGCCAATTTTTGAAAGCGGCAAGACAAACCAGTCGAACAGCATTATGAATTGATTTATGAATTAATCTGTAGGTGTAGATTCAGTAAGATAATGAATTCATTCTCCACTTTCTGCCTTGCCTTAGGGGATATGAAGTCATGTTTTTTTTAAACAAATTGTCTCTTGGTCAGCTTTTTCTAGCTTCAGAGAAAACTTAACAAGTGCTGTGTTTCAATGCATTTTAAAGCAAATGGTTAAACTAAAGCAACATGTGGTTGTCTTTATTTAGTGGCACTGTAGAGCAGGTATTGGTTGACTGATTTAAGTTTTCATTGCTTGAAAAAATTACTGGTAACAAAACATTCTTTTGTTTTTGGATTCCAGCTAATCTTGTTGAAAACTACACATTGTATTGGCATATGTAAAGATACGTATTGGCATTATGAACTGCAAACTGAAATTGGACAGAAAGCTACTCTATTGTAATTAACAGGAAGTGTGTTGGTTTTTTAAGAATTGCATATATAAAATTGATTTTACCAGTTAAC